TACAATGGTTGTGTTTTCATGACCAGAGCCTCAGTCATGAGATTCATCTCAGTTTTGTTTATAGACAGGATATGCTGTTTACATCGAGCCAAACAACAACCTCTGGTGCTGAAAAATGAAGTCAATGTGAAAGTGCCAAAAGCGGCAGTTCCTTTAATGTCCACTTGAGTCTGGCTCCCAGTGAGTAAATCCCTTTAGACTTTCATATTGAAATATACAACTTTACAACAGAAACAAACAGGTTTACTGCCTGGTGCACAGAACTGTTTCAGTATCTACAGCTAATGTCCTCATTAATGTCAACTACACAGTGGGTCACTTTCTAAATAACTCACCTGTCTACGTTGTATTAAGGCTTAAAGTTATGCATAATAAGGGCATGTCTGCCTCAGCTCCACTCATGCTCCACCTCTTTGCTCATTTTTGTATTAGCTGGGAGTTAGCAGATTCAGGCACAGCCACAGCCCCCAAAACCATCCATCCATCCATCCATCCATTGTCTATACACCGCTTAATCCTCACTAGGGTCGTGGGGGGGGCTGGAGCCTATCCCAGCCGAGGGAAACCTATGGGTGACTTCAAAGAGGGTTTATGCATCTTTTTGTACAGTCTGTGCATGGAGCACAAAGAAATCTAATTATTCATATGCCTGTATACATCATAAATACTAGTATCCCTGTTGCTGATGACTGTGTGTTGTTTGTGCAGGTGCCAATAATGTTTACTTAAAATCTGTCAGAATTGGACTTTTCTGGAAGAGTTGTAGTTGTAGTTATTTTCACTGTGTGCCTATGAAAATGTTTTCTGACAGGTTTAGAACTGTTATAATGACAACGCTCAGCTGCCTTATTGCAAACAGTGGGAGAGGAAAGTGACGAGATAATTAAATATGCCCTCCACTTTTACCAATGTCAGACTGTCACTGGCGCTGCATAGGACAAGTTGTATGACATAGTTGACCTTTTCATGAGAACAGAGAAAACAAAAGCACGAGGAGCAGTTCCAGTTATTGATGAGAGCAGCCGTAGTGTTGTACAAACTAGACAAAGATGGGTTATATCGCTTGCTTGCTAACCAGGTTTACAGTGGCAGATGTACGATGCTTTGGATGAAAGCGTCTCCTAAATGAAATTGTAGAATTGTAGTAACACAGTCAGAAAGTTTGTATGGCTGTTCTGTTGCATTATAATGCACAATGCTAAGAGCCACCACATAAAAGTCCCAAACCAGGAACAAGCCTGGCAGAGAGTGTTTTTTTTCTGAAATCAGGACGTGATGTTTCTATGCACAAATATGAAAAAGAGATACTTCAAAATCCATACATTGCCATCTCTAGAAGTGATAATGGCTCATTTAACACAAGCATGTTAAGACCCAGCACAGCACAGTTCAAAGAGTTTGTTAACGCTAACTCCTGCCCAGTACAACATTCTCCTGTGCCGTGCAAAGCATCTCTTGTTCATAAGCTGATTCAGCTGCTTGACTTGTTACACTCATCATTAGCAAGATAACATTCTGTCGCTGTCAGTAGTCAGAGACAGCAAAGCAAACTTTCATGTTACTGAGTCTCAGAAGAAATCGCTTTATGGTTTGTTTAGAACAAACATTTTACTGAACACACTAAAATATTTTTACTAACAAAAATATAAAATTGACCTAAAGCAATTCAGAATAATGTCAAAAGTAGAGCAATTAAACTAAATCAAGGTCAGGTGCCATAGTTACACTGTACCTAATGAATCTGGATACAGCCGATTATAGAACCAGCCTTTTAAAATAAATGTTCATCCATTTTCTTCCACTTATCCTGGGTCAGGTAGCCGTTGTTAAGCAGGTCATTTCATACATCCCTCTCCACTGCAATGTTTTCCACTTCCTCCTAGAAGGTCCTGAGGTGTTTCCGGGCCAGATGAGATATATAATCCCTCCAGCAAGTTCTGGGTCGACCCTGCGCTCTCCTTCCAGTCAGTCATACCCCGAAAAGCACCAAAATAAGAATCTTAGGAGACATCGGAATCAGATGCCTGAACCACCTCAACTAACTTTTTTTGATGTGAGGAAGCAGCAGCTCTACTCTGAGCCCCATATGAGCGTTGGAGCTCCTTGCCCAATCTCTTACACTGAATCCAGCCACCCTACGGAGGAAACTAATTTCAGCTGCTTGTACCCGTGGTCTGATTCTTTAGGTCACTATCCATAGGTGAGAGTTGAAACATAGATTGGCAGGTAAGGTGTCAAGAGCCGTGCTTCCTGGGTCAGCTCCCTCTTCACCACAAGAGTGCGGTACAACACCCGCATTACTGCTGTTGCTGCACTCATTCTTTTGTCCATCTCACACTCTATTTTCCCTGTCACTCATGAACAAGATCCCAAAATACTTAAACTCCTTTGCTCAGGGCAGCAAAATAATTGTATTATTCCCATTTCTACCTTCAGAGTAATGCTGTTGCCCAGATTTACAGCTGCCACAGGCCTCAAGTCTAATGCTACAGTATTAATCTAACATTAAATTGCTTCAGTTTTAGGCCAAGAGGTGTGACTGCACTGTTTTAAATGACTTCATAACCCTGGACTTGGACAGACAAGTAGTGAATCAGTGCATCATCAACACCATCTCTTTAATGGTTCCACAAAAACGTACATTTTAGCCACACACACACACACAACGTTGATTGTTGACTTCCACAGTGTGGCCAGTGTGTGATGGTTGTATGAAACAGTTGTACATGACTGCTCTAATTAAATGTGCCACTGTCTCCTCACTTCTTCACCGAAAGGTCTGTCAAAACATCAGAGTGCAGTCTCTGTACTTAAAATGGCTCTTCCATTTTTATCCCTCTATTTTTACCACCATCCATCTCACACCTCGAGATGCCGTTTTGCAGAGCTGCTGGTGACAGTCGGCCTCCTTTGACTACTTTATCAGATCACAGTTACATTTTTAGAAGCAACATTTGTGCTTTATTCTCTTCAAATTTTTCTTTCCTGTTTTTTGCTTTAGACTTTCAGGACAGGCTCAGAGCATGACAGGGTGGAGGGGTGGGGAAGGGGAGATAATGGAAGGGACCACCATGAATTTCCTCTTATGGAATGTGTAAAGAGTTGGTGACAGAAGTGCTTTGACTGGCTGACAGACTTTAAAAGAGCTGAAGGTCACATGGCTCAGCTTTGTGCCTCGTAGGGTTAAATGAGGGATACACACACAAACACATCCCCATGTCGCCACTGTGCACAAAATGTTGTTCTTCTTTTCTATTGTGATCTGAGTCTAAACTTTAGAATGAGCTTCATAGATAGTTTTGACCTGTCATCCATTTCATTCATCTTTTCTCTCAACAGAGACATTCTTACTTTTTCTTTTAATTTCACACTGACTGGATCCAGCAGGAATTTGGATAAACCATCTATTCAGTTTTTACCACCATGTCATTTTTCATCATAGTGATGGACACTGCAGCAGGATACATCAAAGAAAGTCATCTTTATGGATTCATTTCATTCTCATCACAGGACATGTCACATCAGATGGACTGAGGCATATATTACATACTTGATGAGATCAAACCATGTGCTGGTCTTTGCAGCGGTACTTTTGGCCTCCCTGTTTAGAAAGTACATAAAATATCCTTCCGGTAGCTTGTGTGTTGAGGTGTGAACAGATGTGGAGGACGTGTCCATCAACACTCCTCTTCGGCGCAGTGCAGGACGTCTTACCAGACGTTACAGTTAGTCTGCTCTGTAACCGTCAAGTTGAGTTTTCCTAATTGTCACTGCAGTGAAAGGCCTCCCAGTCACACAGCAAAGAAATCTGACAGATGGTTCATTAGTAACTGGTGGGAGGTGGAGAACTTGTAGGTAACAGATCTCAGCTGGACACAGGAGGCAGGTAATGTTCTTAGGGGATGAAAGGAAGTGGTGGGAGAGAGATAAGATGAAAGAGGAGCAACTTGGAGAGAGGGATGAGGTGACACGCAGAGTTCGTCCACTTTACTGATGGACTGACCTGCATGTGCTCGTGTTACTGCATTTGAAGGGTAATTACAGTTTATTTCAAACCTGGTGTATTTCCCATTATTTTGCTTATTGTGTGTCTATGGATCATGCAAACTCGCGCTTGATGTAGAGATATAGAGAAACAAGGCATCACACAGAAGCAATGAATATTGCAACAACAATTGCAAGGTCCCTGCAGCTCTGCAAAAACCATTACGAGAACTGTCATTGTGTGATGGCCGTATTTATTGGAACCATATAGATGAGGGGCAAAATCAAATGCAAGATGTAACTCAGGCTCTGAGAACGAAGGCAGAAGCAGAAAGACAACAGGACAACCTGAAAGAGTACCTTTGGAAACTGGTGGTATTTCTGATCTCACTGCTGTGCTGCTGGGAAAACTACTGCTGCAAAGAGTAGCAATGATTAACCTCAAACGGTCTTCAGTTTTTTTAAACATTGTTGTGGAGATTGTGTTTCACTTCTCCAAAACCAACGAGAAGAAAAGACCAAGACCAGCCAGCTTGTCATCCCCCCTTTGTGTGATTTATTGTTGACTTGTGTCTACATTAGTGTGTCATTAATGTGGTCGATTGGCATAAATATTCTGTTCCTTCCCACTGTCGCTGATTGCTTGCTCCAAAGCAAAGCAAAGGAAACTTTGGATTTATTGGGTTTCTGTGTTTAAAATGTGTACGGTCTTACCTTACTATGTGAAGTCCTATGAGATGGCATATGTTGTAAATAGAAATAAAACTGAATTGAATTGAACAAATTCCATAAACCACAGAGACCGTGATGGTAATAATTGGCTGTCTCATACCAATGTTACAATGAGTGTAAAAGTCCAAAGCACATTTCCCACTAACCAGTTATGTTCAATCCAACCTCTCTTTTGTTTGAGTTTTTAGTGGTGTATAACAATACTGCTTTTGAAACTACTACATCAGCTAGAATGTTAAATCTTTACTGAACTTGTATTTCTGTCCTTTTTCTTGCAATGGCAGATTCTAAAGATCCTGGTCAGGGCAGTTGTTGAAAACTTGACGGACAGCGAGGGGCAGCAGGCAGGAGCCCTCCAGTCCAAACTGAAGGAGCTCTTTGGTCGGATCAGTTCCCGCCACAGCAGTGACGCAGAGATATGGCGACAGTACGCACTGCTGTACGGTGGAGGCCACAGCTCCAACCCAGAGGACAACGAAAAGGTGCCCAACACTCACACGACATGTTTTTAACCCAAACATGCATCAACCAGCACTATGGGCATGATGTACATAATAGTTCATTTGCGTGTCATGAGGTCAGTAAGAATGGATCAGCAGAGTGGAGGAACTGGGAAACAGAGAGTTGGGGTTCACTTATTACTTTACAACACGACAAGACAGTCCGCAGATATACACACATTTATATGCTATTACAATGTAAATAGAGCTACAACTGTTTTCTTTGCTGATTAATCTGTGAAATGTTTTCTAGATAATTCAATTAGTCGCTTGTTCTATAAAATGACCATAAAACTACTCAGAAATTGGAGAAAATGTTGATCTGTGTATTTCAAAGCCAGAGATGACAAATGTCTTGTTTGGTCATCCATCCAAAGATATTTAGTTCACTGTCACAGAGGAGTGAATAAAGAAGTTTAAGAAGTCGGACTCAGAATTTAGATGACTGTTTTTATTTATAATTTCTCATACCATGTAATCAATTATCAAAATAGTTAGAAATTTAAATGTAATAGTTCCATAATTAATTAACTGATTAATTGTTGCAGTGAAATGGCATGAAATGTAAGCTAAAGCAGCTTTATTCGACCTACTGTGTAGCGATCTCAGGTTGTTAGAAGAAAACATCTGCTTCACTTTACCAGACTTTGGGAGGTCTATATTATTGTAAAAAATTCCTAAATTACAAAAAATATATTTTGCTTGATATAAATGCCAAGGAAAGTAGCAGCATCAGTAAAACTACACTTGAGAGTTGGTATTTTCCTACAACATAGTCCACATAGCTGCCCACCCTCAGCTATATGTCTGTAAGATGTCGGTGGGTCCCCAACAGGTGCAAACGGAATAGTTTTGAACTTTATCTGAACTGAATCTTTACGATTTTACAGAATTTGGCAAAACCGTTTGATAAAAATGTTTTTGGAAAAATCTAATACGATGACCTCACAAGTAGCTCTGTAACTGTAGAGCACACTCATGTTGTGTCACCAGGCTGCTTGAATCATGTCATCAGCTGAACCAGACAGCCACAAAACCACAGAGTACAAAGACAAGGGCAGTTCAATAAAAAATCAAGAACAAAAGCCAGGACTGCATTTAACTTAAGCACATGTCAGCTAATAGAACATTTTTTTCCAGGCACTGCAGTTCCTGTCCAAGGCCCATCGCTGTGACGTTCAGACCGGCGGCTGGGAGAAAGAACCTGCTCTCTTCAAGGAGGTGATCAAAAGAGGCATCCATATGGGAGAAGGTGAGAACGGCACCCAGCTGTGTACACACCGTCATCCACACAGTGTACGTTTCTCAGAAGGGTAGCGGAGGTCAAAGGATGGAGAGATGATAAAAGAGATGCGTCTCTGATTCCAGTTTAGTTGTTAATCTCCACAATCCCCAGATGTTTTCATTACAGCAACACACACAGCTGAATGAAACATGGGAGAGGCAGTCAGGAGCCAGATGAAAAGACTAGTAATACTGCCTGCTGGAGATGTGTTTGCTCCGTCTGTCAGCTGGCATGTACAACCGTCCAGCCTTCTGCTCTCAGGCCTTGTATATGAAACGCTCATTTTCGTTGAGCTCACGTACTTGGTGCACAGATACACACACAAACCATTTTTCACGCATAATATTTTTGTATGCAACCCTACAAGGTTTCTCATATTAATGCTGTTGTAAGGTGTCTTGCTATCTTTAGGGACTGCAAGCGGGAAAATGCAGCATCTGCAAAGATACAAAGATATCTGCAAGGAAACTTGTTCATCCAGCTTTCTTGAGAATTGAAACTAGTACTACATTTGTATTATTTATAAGTAGGAACTATGTACAGAGGGATCCAAAAGTCTGAGACCACATGGAGAATCTGTCAGATTTTAACGTAACCATAGAAATATTTGGAAAATTTGATTTTGAAAATATTTAAAAATACAAGATATTCTGACATGTAATAAGGAAGAAATAATAAGAAATATTTCAGATCCTGCTCTGTTTCTTGGTCAGCAGTCTCTGATCAGAATAGTGGCAGTGGCTGTGTTGGTTACTGTAACAGAAGGTTTGTGTGTAATCAAACCCACAGTGAAACACGCTGCTGGAATGAAGTCTGAGGGGGTTTTTGTTCTGGACATACTATTAGCATTTATGTAAAAAATTATATAATAAGCCAATCTACAATGTGAAAAGGGGTTCAAAGATGCACTAAGGTAGCTTAGTCACACTGAATGCATTTATTCTGTTAGAATCAGGAAGTACTTTCTGCTAATCTGCTAAACTAACTAATATGACAAGTTAAGGTTGTTTGTCTCCATGATAACTCTGTTGAGCTGCTGCCTCATTTATTCACTGATGGCAAATTCTTTGCGAAGCTTTTGGGTCACCAGAATGGATGTTTTTTGAGTGCAGATAAACAGCTCAGTCTAGTTTTAGGAACAACAACCCTGAGCCATTCTCTCAACTGTTTTCACATTAAATGGGAGACTGGAAGTTTGAAAAGTTCAGTGGAGTTAGAAACAAGTGACCTCAGGTGTCTGAAGCTCACTTCTCATCTCTGCTGCATCTCAGCCACCTCGAACATGAATTACTCACCGAACTGTCCGAGTTTTATGTTGCATTCTGGGTGGAAATGTGTGGACAAAAACCCAGACAACACTGCTGACAGACAATACCAGTTTTTTAACAGTACATTTTGATGCAGATGGCCTCAAATTAGGTTCAGTAAGACTTAAAACTTGTATTGTGTTGTTCACAAATGAATGAGCTTTAAATCATTCCTTGTAAACCTGTAAAATAAATGTTTATAAGAAATTAATATTAAAAGAAGTAGAAGTGATTTTTATTTGTAAAAATGTGTTGAAAAAGAAGTGCCTTTTTAAACATGTACAGAAACAAAGCAGAACGTTCCCAGTGTTCCCACAGTGTGTCCCACACCATGTGTGACACTGAAATTACCAGAAGAATTGTGACCCTGTCTTTACACATGAATCTGACTGGATTGTCACTTCACAAGGCCAAGTCAAACTGTCCAATCAAAAGGCAAATGGTTCAGCTTCATCTCCACTGCAGGCCCCTAAAGCTGTCGTAGATTTTCAAGATATACAACAACACAGGCTCTGTTAGCAGTTACTATGTAAAGTTACACTGAAATATGAGACACAACAAGAGAAGCTCTTCTATCTAGAAGATCGATGTTAGCAGCATTCCTGCGTTCATTCAAAAAATATGCATTTGGACATCTGTTTTACCTTAGAGTACCAGCAAAGTAGCTGTACGGTGCATATGCACATTAAAAGTCTACGATTATTTTTCTACAGCATCATCAAATGTATTTAACGATCTGAGCCAGAAGCAGTTTTCTGCCACTTCTTGCTCCTGTTACATGTTTACTGACTGTGGGTTCATCCATAGAAATTCTGCACCTCTATGGATACAGTGTGACTGTGGCTGGCAGTAGAGGGAACTTGAAAATGTCTTCTGTGCTGCCTGAAACAATTATAATGACATAAATTATTTACCAAAAAAAAAAAATTTGTTTCTTTGATTATTTTTATTACAATAAATGACAAAACCTGGTGTTACCAACATTGGGAAAATAGCAGCTTCACATACTTTAGGTTTTTAATTATTTACATTTTTGCAACATTTACAAACAAGATGTTTTCACACTACTCTGCACATCAATGCCAGGAAGATGTTTCACCATTTTTTTGCTGAATGTATCTTCCAACAACTTGTGTACCGTTTTGGAGCCATGCTGTATTTAGTTATTGATTGACTATGTTTTATTGTCCTCTCAGTCTCTAATTTGTTTCCAATACATGTCTGTTATGTGCTCTGTGAAAACACAGCTCAGCTTAATATTCACAGATTTGTTTTTGTCAGGTGACTCTTGGTCGCAGTTGAGTCAGTCATGGCTTCTCACTTGCAGTGAGGAGTGCAGGAATGTGCCAGAATCTGCTGCCAAAGGTTTAGTTTTGGAAAACATCTGAATGAGACCACCACCCAGATGAAAGGGTTAAATGACTCTGAGATCAAAAGGAAAAAGAATCTCTGATCTGACATGAAAAAAGAGAAGCTTTATGGGCAGAACTCTAAGCACTATGTGTCTTGAACACTAGGCACTGCTCATCACCTGCTGCTACCATTTGTATGCTGAAGCATGGGGGTGGCAGCATCATGCTTCATGTTTCCTGGGACAAGCAGATTGGTACGAGCTGAGAGAAGGATGAATGCAACCAAATACAAAACTGCTCCAGTGTGCAGAGACCTTTGACTAGGATGACAGTTCACCTTTCAGCGCAGCATTGACTCAAAGCAAACAGCCAACACTGGAGTGTCTAGTATCCCAGACATAAACATTATATTAAATCTGTGGAGAAACCTTCAGATGGCAGATCATTCAGTCTGACAGAGCCTGATAGGGTCTGTCAGGAAGGATGGGATAAACTGATAAAGCTGCACGGCAAATGCAAGTGTACAAAGCCCGAAGAGATACAACAAGACTGGAAGCTGTAACTGCTGCAAAAGTAGCTTCTGCAAAGTACTGAAATAAGGGTGCAAAAAATAATCCCCCCAAATGTTGTCACTCTACATTGTAGCCTACTGAATGTAGATTGATGAGATTTTTTCACTTTAAGATTAAATTTCCATCACAAATTAGTGTGAAAGTGAATGGGTCTGGCTACTTTCTGAAGCAATTATATGTACTTTGTGTACCTGTACACAGTTGTGTTAACTACACATATTCCTTCAATTGTATGGCTGCTATATGGCTTTATTATTCTTTGACTTAAAGAATAAGTCTTGTGTATCTGTGATAGGATATTTTGAATGCAACATGCACTTCTTTTTCCTCACCTGCTCTCCTCCATTGGCTGTATGCAGAGTGTGATACAGTGAGAAGCTCAAGAGAAGCCACTAACCATAAATTCAAAACATTATGTCGTACACATGTTTGCAAAAGGTTCCTTCACGTCCTGACACTGTTGAAAGCTCAGCAACAGGTTCAGTCTCAGTATACAGTGTTGAAATAACACAAACACACTATAGTGGCGTTTGAGCACAAAGATGAGTGTGTCAGTGTCTCTATCTCCACCCTGGACTACACATTCCACTGACCTTAGCTCGGGTGTGGAGGCTGCACCCACACAAATGACGAAGCTCCAAAAGAAAGCAAAGAACAGACGAAGCAGAGCAGGAGGGAGCAGCCTTTATAAATCACCACAGGTTGACCTTTACAGTTACAGCTGGGACAGAGACGAGCGGTGCTGCCAGGCAGGACACAGGAAACAGACACTTTTCCTTCCATGTGTGGGAGAGGTCGAGTTTGGTGACCTGTAAAAGAGTGTGATGGAGGAGGGTAACACGGGAGCCACATGACCTATCAGTGCTCGAGCTGCTGCCACGTGAAGTTATTTAAGTTTGGAGATGAGCAGATTAGTTTTTGAATCAGTTTGTTGTACAGAAACTTAATCTGTAACTATTTATGAGTCTTTCATTTTTCCAGCACAACAACATTTTGCCTACAATACAGATTAGCTACAGTAGGCTTCTTTCATCAGTGGCATATGTGGTTTCAGAACATCCTCTCATGGTTAAAGGTCTTTTGTTTTTTTGACTTTACCCCTTAATATCTCTGCCCACTATTTGTCAGGATCCCCAGGCTTGATCATTGGGGTTCTACCAGCTGTTCTCTAAGAACTTTCTCTCAAGTAAACGTGACAACATCCCCATGGACACATTCTCTGGAGCAAATCCAATTAGTCCATTCAAAATATTACTTTTCAAGTGCAGAAGTTTTCTTTATCCACCCTCTAATTTTTTCTGTCTCTGCCTGTCAGTGACAGTCAGTTGCAGTGAGAAGAAGAGTAATCCATCAGAAGCTCTTCAGATGCTCTCCACCACCCGCCTCAGCCTAAGGAGTCTGGCCACCAAAGCCAAGGTACAGTCCTCAGTAACACACAGACCCAGGAGCTCAACAATAATGTGGAAACCTCATACCAGTGTGGTCACAATACTGGAATTTCTAACCTCAGTACAGTATGGAGCTGTTTCATAATCCTGCTGGTGCTCCTGCAAACCTTCCTGCTCGCACAATATACCGTTCCATGTATTTTATGTCCTCTGTCATGCTGCACGGAAAACACATTATTTAACTGTGTAGTAAGAATAAAGAAATTCATATCAGTCAGTATCCAAAGTAAAACTACATTCATAGGAATTAGTTGGTCAACGGCAGGACATAAATATTACGTACATTTCTTGACAGTGTCTTGTTTAACATGTGCAGGAAGACGCGCTTTATCTTTTAGAACAGCTTAGTTTGACCTGAGAGAACAGAGCTGGTGCTGCTTCAAGCCAGAGGAGGCAGAGTTGAGCCAAGTTTGTACAAAAAAATCCAGTTTATTGCCGTCTGTGTCAGCAACACCTCTGAAATGTATACACATCAGAGTGGCCTTGCTTTGCCTTTGTATTGTAAAACACACTTTAATCTTTTTTCTGACTTCGTTTGTTGACTTCATCCTTTTGGTTGTGGCTCACGCCAAGACCAGCAGTTTGTTTATTAAAGTTAAAATCCGCCTGCTGCCGCGAGATTTGTGTCAGGTCCTGCAGGGATCCCAGGCCCAAGGCAGCCCTCTTGAAAAATACTGAGGTTTGATTCCATTTTTAATACCTTGGGAAAAAATTGCCACCACACCGAAGGCAACTTGTAGGTTTTATTTTAAAATGAATATAGCAGAGCTACAACTTGAGAACAATGTACATCATTACCATTTAGGCAGTGCACTTTTTCAAAAGTCTCTGAGATTGTAGCTGAAGGCAATAATAATAATAATATTTCTTCAGGATTTAGTGCTTTAACTGGCATGGTTTGTTATCACTGCTACGTAGCATATTGGTTTGCCCGTGTCCTTTACCTGTCCATGATCATTTGCCTGAAACACTCAATCGATAATCAGTATGTTTGAGCACAGTACAAGTGCCAGCAGAGCATTCAGTGTAGGCAGCACATTTCAGCTTCTTCCTGGCTTGATAATCGTACAGTGGCTGGAATTAGAACATTGTGTGTGCTTCACAGCTCTACTACAAACCTCCTCTGCTTTTTGTCTTTCCTCACTAAGTGACGGTGGCAGCAGATGGTCACACAGCGCATCCAGCTGGTGCTGTCAGCATGAAGCCTGACACAAAATCTTTACCAGGTCACAACAGCGTTCAAGTCATCATTCTGAACAAGGTCTCGCTGTAGCAGTGCATAAAGACATGAAGATGTTCCTGTTAGCTGAAGTCAGAAATGCAGAAGCTGCTGCTCTTTGCTACATGTCAACAAATTTTAATGAAAATCCTAAAGATATTTATGTGACCTGGTAAGTATAGAGCGGTTATTTTTGCTATATTTTACTGTCTGCTAGCTTTAGCTGTGAGTCAGTACTGTCATCTAGCTACTACATATTGAACTCTTTGGACACCAAAAATAGGCCTATTAAAAGAAAGAGACAGACGAATATTCGGAGATTAAAATTGCTATCTGGATACCAGCACAATGATGGAATATTCAGATATTCGGTTCTTCGGTTCCAGCCCTGTACATTATGTCTTTATTTTATCTCATTAGTATTTTTGTCTTCCAGCAAATGCACACCGACGTGGCTACAGGTCAGATCCACACCGAGCTGCAGGACGGGGTCGCTACTCTGGAGCAACTCATCACTGAGCTGCAGGAGCTGAGTGGGAAGCTGCGTAACCAGTCGCAGTGACCGTCCTCACAGAAGCATCTCCTTTCTGGGACAAAAAATAGCTTGTCCGTAATAAGGACTGACCAGAGTCAGACAGAGACTCTACATTTCCAGACATCACCCTAATAAATTCCATCAAATCAAGAGTTAAAGTAGAAAAGGAAAGCCAAAGGACTCACTTTGTAATCATGATGTTTTTATACCTTTATGTCTACATTGGAAGGTAAACAATGACTATCTGACATTAAGCAGTAAAATGTTTAAAAATCAAAATGTTTGCTTCGTAATCCTTTTCATGCTGAAGAAATGTGACTGACATCATAAAATAACCTTCATTCTTAGTAACTGCTTGAGGAACAAAGTTAGAGGTGTCAAATTTTGAAGCTGCATCAGAAGGTGTAGCCTGAGCGTCATTCTAGCAAAGCTGTGTTACTCCGTCTGTGTCGAGGCATTAAGGAACAGGGTTTAGCTGTACATCACTCAGAGCTCAATCACTGCAGTCAAGCATTTTAATGCAGGAAAATAGACTTGAAATGGAAAAATGCACCTCAGGCCCCATTTACAGGTAAATAGCAAGAGTAAAACGTACCTTTTTGTCGTGTTTGCAGTCTTTAAATTACTTCAGGATGCAGATTCTGTGACAGCAATTAGTACTTCTGCTTTCCTACGATGTCTCATTACATCAAGTCAATGCTGCATTCACACCATGTCTGCAAAACAAAAAGAACAGAAAAAAAATTCCTTACCCCTCTCAAATCAGAAGAGCAGCTTCATATCATTTAAATAATAATTACAAACAACCAAGTGGGGAAAAACTGTTCATGCCAGCGTCTGTCTTGTATTTACAAGTTAGAAATACTGGAAACTTTTCCCATTTGCTGAAAAAGAACAAAATGTCATATCTATAACTTCTGTTCGAGGTACAACACATACAGTACGAGATATCAGGCCCATCATGAACTGACTGAAGACACCTCTGTTCACGCCTTTAAGGCAGATGATCTACAGTTATGTTCAAAATAATCGTGTTTTTTAAAAGTAAAGCTCAAAATCCTTATACTTTTATTTCCATTCATTGGGAACACTGCACATTATATTTAAGATCAAAACATGAAGAAAAATGTGTCAGTATTTTAATTACTTTATAGCAAATGAAGGAAAAAATGATATTTGCTGTTTAAAAAATAGCAGTGTCTGCATGTTTCATTACAAACTCATATATTTACTCAACAAACTAGCATTGCTGTGAATCACTAAACTAATATTTAGTTGCATAGCCACTGTTTTTGAGAACTGCTTGACATTGTGCTGCATGGAGTCGACCACCTTCTGGCACCTGTGAACAGGTATTCCAGCCCAGGATGATTTGACAGCCTTCCACAGTTCCTCTGCATTTCTTGGTTTTGCCTCAGACACAGCATTTTTGATGTCACCCCGTAAGTTTTCTCTTGGATTAAGGTCCCAGGATTGGACTGGCCACTCCATAACCCTGATTTTGTTTGTCTGGAACCAAGATGCTGCTCGCTAACTGATGTGTTTGCGGTCGTTGTCTTGTTGAAACACCCATTTCAAGGGCATTTCCTCTTCAGCATAAGGCAGCACGACCTCTTTAAGTATTTTGATATAAGCAAATTGATCCATGATCCCTGGTATGCGATAAATAGGCCAGACACCACAGTAAGAGACCCAGCCCCATATCATGATGCTTCCACCACCATGCTTCACGGTCTTCACAGTGTACTGTGGTTTAAATTCAGTGTTTAGGGTTCGTCTGACGAACTGTCTGCGGCCCTTGGACCCAAAAAGAACAATATGACTTTCATCAGTCCACAAAATGTTTCTCCATTTCTCTTTAGGCCAGTCAATATGTTCTTTGGCATATTGTATCCTCTTCAGCACGTCTTTTTTTTAACAGTGGGAGTTTGTGGGGGCTTCTTGCCAATAGCTTAGCCTCACACAAGCGTCTTCTAACTGTCACAGTACTCACAGGTAACTTCAGACCATCTTTGATCTCCCTGAGCTGATCATTGGCTGAGTTTTTGCCATTCTGGCTATTATTCGATCCATTCGAAAAACATGTTGAGGTTAATTAGTGATTCTAAATTGTCCGTAGGTGTGAATGTGAGTGTGCTTGGTTGTCTGTCTCTAAGTGTAGCCCTGTGATAAACTGGTGACCTGTCCAGGATGTCCCCTGCCTTCGCTTTAAGTCAGCTGGGATAGACTCCAGCCCCCTGTGACCCTAGTGAGGATAAAGCGGTGTGTATATATAATGGATGAATCTGTGATGACAGACATGAGGTCCTGCCTGCACATATAAATTCCTGTCATCAGTCATCCAAAGCCGCTCTACACTGAGCCCAGCTGCTGAGCCAACCAGGTGTTGTACCTCGTTCCTCTGCTTCAGGGAGCAGTTAGTTGTAGACATAACATTTCTCTCCCTTTAAGTTGATTGACTTAGTACAATATATTATAATAATAACAATAATAATAGATCAGATTTATATAGTGCACTCAAAGACACTGTGCACTGTCAATTATTCATTCATACACGTTCATTTGGTGGTGGTAGCTATGATTGTAGCCACAGCTGCCCTGGGCCAGACTGATAGAGGCGTGGCTGCCATTCTGCGCCTCCGACCACCACCTCAAACCATCCATTCATACACTTTCACACCAGGCAAGGAAGGTGAAGCGTCTTACCCAAGGACACAACGACCATGACACAGGTTACAAGGTGGACCTTCTGAGCACTACCACCTGAGCCACAGCCGCCCCAAAATATAGTACGGGACATGTGCACACACCCTGCAGAGCAGTCACCAAGACCTGCAGCACTCTTGTGCATGGTAGACCCAGCAGAAAGGACAGAATGAGCCACCAAAGGGCTGTCACATCCAAACAATAAAACCAAAACACAAACGTGGGGAGATGACCAGCGAGCTGCAGCGGTTAGCAGTGAGCATGGGGGAGTTAGACTGTCACCCTGTCAGCATCCTATAGCGCCTGTATCTGCCCCCTGACCGCCCAGATTATATAAATCTTAAATTTACAGGAGAGGGGCTGTTCATAACAACCTCATTCAAATTAATGAAACTTTATCAGACCTGAAAACAGGACAATGAAATATGGACTACTAAATATTAAATCTCTGTCATCCACAAAATCTTTTAGTTAATGATCTGATAACAGATCATGATGTTGACTGAATGTTTCTGACTGAAACCTGGCTGCAGCATGAAGAACACGTTAGTCTAAATGAATCAACTCCCCCCAGTCAGATTAATGTTCATGTACCTAGAAGTACAGACAGAGGGGGGGGGAGTGGCAGCAATCTTCCACTCAAACCTATTAATCAACCAGAGACCAAAACTTAGTTATAATTCGTTTGAAAGCCTTAGTCTTAGTCTCACACACTTGAATTGGAAAGCACAAAGACCAGTTGTGTTAGTTGTGGTATATCAGCCACCGGCGCCTATTCTCAGTTTCTATCTGAATTCTCAGAGTTCTCAGCTGATTTAGTCTCAGTG